TTCAATAAAAGACCTGCCTGCCTTCTGATGTTCAGTTGCAGCATATACAGGATGGATAGGATGGGAGTGCCTGCCCATAAGCAAAGGCATTTGAAGGAAAGAAAAGCTTTGGCGGGGGAACAGTTTCTGGAGGAACAATTTGCCTTTCCCTTCCCAAGCTCTCAGTCCCTGTGTCGTGTCTGTGTCCCCTGTCCCGCCGCCGCCCCCCCATCCCCCATGTCCAGGAGGCTGGCTCAGCAGCTGGTGGTTACCAAAAAAGCAGCTTCCAGCGTGGCTTGCCCAGCTCTCCCTTTTTTCTCCTCTTGCCTCAGAGGCCGGCTGGCAGGCACTGTTGTCTCCACCCAGCTCCTGCAGTCAGTGTGGCACAAGCATCTGCTAGTGGCTTCGTGCCTGCTCCTAATGTTCATCATGGCCAGTACCTCCCACCTATGCTGCAAATGACCACAAGAAAGCACTTGTTAAATTGACAATGTTTAATTGTGCAGTACAGGAGATCTTTCTCCATGCCATTCCACCAGCCCTCATCCCAGAGTCTAGTAGAGTGGTCTTCCAGCACATCTCACACTGCTAGGTGATTGGCATCCATTTGACAACTGTGGGTATGGTGCCTGTGGGTGCTGAGGGCTCACCCTTGGCTTTGCAGATGGTGCTCGGAACTCAAGTGGAAACCACAAGACACGTTGCAGTTGTTGGCATCCAGATGTGTCTTTAGCACCTCCAGTGAACCACGAGGTACACAAATATACATTTCATGGCCATTTGGCAGCTGCTGAGCCATGCTTTCATTAGCCAGCACTGTAGCTTGAAAGCACTCTCTCTTTTTAGTAGCAGGAGTACAGTCACTCCCTCCACCTTGATGTCAGGCATGCCACAGGCAAACTTTCCTCAGTTCTGAGAGGTTGGAGCTCCTGAATATCCTGATACACACCTTGCCCAACCATCTAGCATTATGTGCATGAAATGGGTGTGATGGTCTATGACTGCATGTATGACAACCAAGAAAAAGCCCTTGGGCTTGACGAAGTCATGACTAGAATGCACAGGGGAAAGCATGGCAATGCGTATGCCATCTAAGGCCCCAAGGTAGTTCAGGAAAACCTGTGTTGGCAAGTTGTATGATTTTTTGGGGCCATCATTGGATTGCTAGACACACCTCCTGCAGGTGCCTCTCCCACCATGGAATTGCCAACACCAAAGTGCTTTGCTATGGACTGTAAATGTCAAGGTTTCCATACTGCAGTGGTGACATTCTCCTCATCCTTGTGGTCTGCTGTTGAAAGAAGGGGGCCACCTTAATGCAGATCTCCATGAAGGTTCACCTCACCATGTGGGCGCCATCCTCTACGGCTCATGGCCATCCTCTACTGCTCACGTCCATGATGATCCATTCCCACCAGTCACTGCTCACCTTCCTTATCCAGAAATGTTGCTCCACAGGTTGAAGACATTCCCTCATCAACCCGGATACATCATACTGATCTGCACATCATGTTGATCTGCAGCCAACATATCTTCGGGGTGGTAGCTTCTGGCTTGGAGAGAGGCAGACATAGCCATGGGACTCCCAGTGATGAGTGCCAAGCAAATGCATGAGCTTCTGCCACATGAGTTGTCCCTTCTCAGTCTCTTAAATGACCAAAGCCAGGCTGGCCATCAGCTTCTGTTGGCAGTGCCTTTTCTACGTAATCAGCAGCTCAAGCTCATGACATGGAACAAGTCTGATCTGCAAGGCAAGGCCTACATGGATCCATTCTACGGGCTGGTTGCTAGCAACAGGTGGCAGTGGGAGAAGTGGAAATGCCAGGTGGTCTGGGGCAGGAGTCATAGGGTGATATCAGTCCATCGAAGTCCTCACATAAGTTTTACTAGCCACTTCTACCTAGTCAACCACAGAGTGGGAGATTTGCTCAGCTCTTGGGGAGTCCTTGGAAACTGGACACTTGCCCACAGTGAGGCACTCTGGAATTCTGTTTTAGATATCGGGGTGCAGATGTTTAGGAACCCTTTTGCTTCTGATTATTTGCAGGTCATCAGCTTGTCTTGAAGACTACAAATCTTTTCCTCTAATTCTCCTTGCTTTTTTCATTCCGTTTCTTGTCTTCAGACAGAAAAAAGTGTGCATCATATTCTTGCCAAACTCCTGTCCACTGTGCTGCAAACTTTAAAAAAATTTTGTAGCCTTCTCTAGTTTTTTCACGTACCTTTTTATATACATATTTTAACTGGTCATCACAGGTACCTTTCTAATAGGATGGATTAACTACTCAGACTTCAAACATTTGGCATGATCAAAGGCCAAAGAGCCCTGGTCACCCAATCCCAAGATGCAAGGAAACAATCTTCAGTCTTGAAAGCTCAACTACATGGACCAGCACGGTTTCATTAGGGGCAGGTCATGTCAGACCAACCTGATTGCCTTTTACGATCAGGTCACAAAAGCATTGGATGCAGGTGTTGCTGTGGATGTAGTCTTTCTGGACTTCAGCAAGGTCTTTGACACTGTTGACCACCCCATCCTCATTAAATAACTAGGCGACTGTGGCATCGATGCCCACACAGTCAGATGGATTGCTAATTGGCTGAAGGGTCGTACTTAGAGGGTGGTGGTGGACGGGTCATATTCGACCTGGGGGGAAGTGGGCAGCGGAGTCCCCCAGGGCTCGGTCCTTGGGCCCGCACTGTTCAATTTCCTTATCAGTGATTTGGACGACGGGGTGAAAAGCAACCTGTTCAAATTTGCTGATGATACCAAAATATGGGGTGAGGTGGGCACGTTAGTAGGGAGGGAAAGACTGCAGAAAGACCTGGATAGGTTGCAAGGGTGGGCTAACAAAAACAGGATGCGTTTTAATACGGACAAGTGCAGGGTGCTACACTTGGGCAGTAGTAACCGGCAGCACACTTATAAGATGGGAAACTCCCTTCTTGAGAGCACAGAGGCAGAAAGGGATCTTGGAGTCATCACTGACTCCAAGATGAACATTGGCCGACAATGCGAGGTTATGGTTGGCAGGGCTAACCGTGCCTTATCGTGCATCCACAGGTGCATCTCAGGTAGGGCCAAGGAGGTGATCCTCCCCCTCTACGCAACACTGGTCAAGCCACAGCTGGAATACTGTGTCCAGTTCTGGGCACCGCACTTCAAGAGGGATGTGGACAATATTGAGTGGGTACGGGACCTGAACCTGTTTAGCCTTCACAAGAGAAGGCTGAGGGGGGACCTTGTGACCATCTATAAACTCACTAGGGGAGACCAGAAGGGTTTGGGGGAGACCTTGTTTCCCCTAGCGCCCCCCGGGATAACAAGGAATAACGGCCACAAGTTGTTGGAGAGTAGGTTTAGATTAGACATCCGCAAGAACTACTTCACAGTTAGGGCGGCTAGGATCTGGAACCAACTTCCAAGGGAAGTAGTGCTGGCTCCTACCCTGGGGGTCTTTAAGAAGCGGCTCAATGCCTACCTGGCTGGGGTCACTTGAGCCCAGTTTCCCTCCTGCCCAGGCAGGGGGTTGGACTTGAAGATCTACAAGGTCCCTTCAGACCCTACTTCTATGGTTCTATGATTCTATGACCTCACAGAGATCAATAAGTAAGCCACACAATTGACCAGAGTCCTTGCATCCAAGCACAAAATCAACAACTGCTCCCAAAGAATATAGACAAACATACTTCTTAAACACTTTCAAGAGGGAGGCGGACCTGCCCCTTCAGAGGGTTCAGCTATCTGTTATGTCTGCATGATTCTAGCATTAAACATTAGCCTGATTGATGTATATTTAACACTGAATGAAACTGTTAAAGCTTCAGCAGTTTTGCTATACTTCTAGTACTACAGAACCATGCTGATGTAATAGCTGTATCATAGCATTTTGTGTCAAGTGATATCTGTAAAATTACTGAGTCTGTCTAATTTAGTAATCTGTCCTGTCTGGTTGCTCAGATGTTTGCTTGCCACTTACCTACACCTAGCCACATTTGTAAGCATCATGACAGCATCTTAGGGAAGAAGGTGTTTGTCACCACAAAAGAAATCTTGAAACTTGACTTCTGGTCATCCGCAGGCATATTTGTAAAGCAAACTTAAACTTTTTGTCCATACAGGTGCTTCAAATAAGTAAATATTTTTGATTAGAGGGAACCATATCCATTCTTCTCCTATTTCTCAATTTTACTACTTAGTAATTTTCCCTTATGGTTTGCTGTGGCCCAAATGTCTCAGTCTGTGGAACCTATCAAGATACAGAATAAAAAACTTATTTGTAGATTTTTTTTTCCTGTTTTGAGCTGTTTGTTAACAGCTGTCTGTTTTACTTGAGAGAAGTTTTTATCTTTGCAGCAGCTTTCTTCAAAGTTCCTATACATGCCAAGTACAAATTAATTAGGTATTTTGATGATAATAATACAACATTCATTTTGTTAATCTAATATAGTTTTGGAGTTTCTCTACTGTTTTCAAAATGTTAAATTTGTCTGGGGATGTTGAAAGAAAAAAGTTGTTCCTAGAAAGAAAAACAAGTAACAATTTTTGTTTAAACATTTTTTTTCTTGCAACATCAGGTTTGAATTTATTGCTTTTTATTTATTTATTTGCTTATTTAAATGGTAGAAGCTTTATACCTTACCTAAGAGTGTGAGGGTGAGGCAGCTTTTTATTTCTGACAAAGGGCATGAAAATTCTTAGTAGCAGCCAACTGGCATATAGTGAATTTTATACTTGCAGAGTGATTATATTTTACACATGTGTGTACACACACACACACACATTGTTCCACTTATTATGCATACATATGTGCATTATGTATTTTGTATATATGTAATATCTGACAGCCAATTAGATTTCAAGGATTATTGTGAAATAATTTATAAATGCAGAAACAATCAAGAGTGCAAGGAACAACATAACAGAAACATTGTATAGTTAATTTCAGTAACTATAAGGATCTGTAGTTTGAATAGTTCCATTTCACTACAGCAAATACTAATTTACTTACCTTTGGTAGGTTAGAGAATGTGTTTCTAAGAAATTCTCTTCGGATGAAGCTGTTGAAAGAAAATTGCTGGAAAAAGACAAGGAAGGAATTGTAAGCTCGCATCTACAGTGGCAGCTTAATCTTTTAGCCCATGTTGAATCTCTGCAAGATGAAGTTACACACAGGATGGATTTCATCGAGAAAGAACTGGATGGTAGATAATGTGTCTTTTTATTGTTTTATTAGACTTGCTGTTTTAGTAACTGGAGATGAGAATTCTTCTTTCTCTGTTTTAGGAGTGACTCTGCATTGGGTATGATCATTGGACAGTGAATTATATTATGTTATTTGATGATAGTTTAATTTGTTATAGAAAATGTTGCAGTTAGCTCATCCAGTTTAAATATTGATTCAAAGAAATATTTGTATTTAGAGTTGAATACTTGTCAGTTATACTGTGCTGCTTAAATTCTTTGGATGAGTATTTTACAAGAAATAGAAGTACTGCTTACATTTTAGAAATGAAAAAACGGAGAGTATGGATACAGTACGCTTGGAGCTCTTTCGAAAGGGTAACATTCCAGATGTTAAGCTCTAATAGTTAATATAGACAATCTGGAAAACATAAAAATATAGCAAAACTGGAACAGTTTTAACACTGCCTCACCAGTGTTAAAACTGGTTTAAATGTACATATGTGCATATGCTGAAAAATAGAGGTTATATAATTTGACAAAGGTTTTACAGTGAATGAGTTGAAGAGCTTAGAATAAAATCAGGATCTTATGACTTCCAGTTCATTCCTTCCTCTTTCATGTCCTTGTGACAAGGTATTTAGCAGAATTTTCAGATTTTGTTTGGAATTTGATGGGCCACACTGTGAGTACTGCTTTGGCTTTCCACATCAGTGACCAGTACCACTCTGGTTCTGATAAAATAACCAAGTTGCCTTCATGAGGTATACTTGATATTTGGGCTTAACATATATAACGTGTTAATTTCTGTTATAAAGGTGTAGGTTGTGGCTCTATAATTAAGGCTGATTTGAAATTTTTATTTAAAATAGGGATAGAAACTAATATGCATGAAGAATACGATGTCCTTTCCCAAATATAGTCTACATTAGATGTACATCCCTTTCTAAAATGAACAGTCTCAAATTTTGCCAGAGCTGATGTTGGTGTGCCCATCCCCAGCTAGCGAGTTAGTGAGAAGAGATCTCAGACATCCCATTCTTCCGCAATTCCCCTGCGTCTTCATAGAACTGCCGAGTGGAAACTGCAGAGCCTTTTTGGTATTCAATCTCCAGGCTTCTGTTCTGTGCTTCCTGCAATTGACCATCAGGAAAAACAATTGGTTTCATGTGCACTGTGTTCTCAACAGGAGAATATATGCTGGCAATAGTTCAATGAGTTCTGTGCTGAGTTGAGACCATTGCTCCAGAGGCAACATGGGTGTATGTGCCCATTAGCATGGAAAAGCAAGTGGCAGTTACTGTCTGGAAGCTGGCAACCTCCAATAGCTTCTGGTTTGTTGTCAGTCAGTTCAGCTTGGATTAGTCCATTGCTGAATTAGCTGTCAGGAAGGTGTGTCATGCCATCCAAAACTTACTGGCACCAAGTTTCCCCAGACTTTCTAATGATAGATTCATAGATGCTAGGGTCAGAAGGGACCTCAAGAGATCACCGAGTCTGACCCCCTGCCTAGGCAAGAAAGAGTGCCAGGGTCAGATGACCCCAGCCAGATGCCTATCCAGCCTTCTAAAAACCTCCAATGTAGGGAGGAGCACCACCTCCCTTGGAAGCCCATTCCAAATTTTGGCCACCCTTACTGTGAAGAATAAGAATTTCTGCCTTTGTCACTTCACTCGCCCCTACTTGACCCAGCCAGGACTTGAACTCAGCTCTCCCACATGGTAAGCAGAAATTCTACCACACAGCCACCAGTGTGAAGAATTTCAGCTATTTTAACCCCTTGCTGAAGGCAGTGCCATCTCTATCTAAAGCCGTCCTAGACAGTTGTTTGTCTAATCTATGCTTAACATTTTACAGACAACCCCCTACCAGGTACCCCCTACCAACAGCTACCAGGCACAATGCACAAAAACATCCAAAATTCCCTAACTTGCTACAGGTAAAGCAGGGGAATGAGGGCACTATCAATGTAGAAGAGCTCCAAAGAAGAGGACTATGGTCCCTGCTTCAGGGGACGGCAAAAGGCCCTTTAGGCCATGCCAGTCTGGCTGTGGAATAAAATTCCTTCCTGATGCCAAATGAGATTGGTTTCTGTTTTCAAAAAGAATTGGAGGTGAACCTGGGAACTACAGACCAGTGAGTCTCGCTTTCATCCCTGGCAAGTTGATAGAATATATAATAAAGAATAAATTCAGCAATGACATGGATAGATATGATGTGCTGAGGAGGAGTCGCCATGATTTTTGTACAGGGAAGTCCTGCTTTAGCAATTTGCAAGAGTTCTTTGGGGTGTTAACAAGCACAGAGACGGTGCTTTTGACAAAGTCCCTCACCAAAAAACAGTTGTCATGGGATTGGGAGGAAGGGTTTTTGTTTGTTGATTGAAAGCTAGAAAGCAAAGAGTAGGGCTAAATGATCACTTTTCAGGGTAGAGGAAGGTCAGCCATGGTGTCCTGCAAGGATATGTGCTGTGTCTGGTTTTGTTCAACCTCTGTGCCAATGGAAATGGAGTGCACAGTGAAATCTCCAAGTTTATAGATGATACCAAATTATTTTGGGTAGTCAAATCCCAAGCTGCTACAGAGGAGCTCCAGAAAGATTTTATAAAGCTGAGTCACTGGGCAAAATTGTGACAGATGAACTTCTATGTCAACAAGTGCAAGGTATTGTACATAGGGAAAAATAACCTCAATTAGATGTACACAGTGCTGGGTTCTGAATTCTCTTACAACTCAAGAAAAAGGCTTTGGAGTCATTGTAGATAATTCTCTAAAAAAAATCAACTTAATTTGTAGCAGTGTCCAAAAAAGCCAGTCAAATATTGGGTGGGCACCATTTAGAAGGGAATTGAAAACAAAATGGAAAACATCATCATGCCACTGTGCGAATCCAGGGCGCACCCACATCTTGAATACTGTGTGCAGATCTAGTCTTTGCATCTCAAAAAGTATGTAGTAGAATTAGAAAAGGTGGGCAGTGAAGATGATCAGAGGTATGGAGCAGCTGCTGTACTAGGAGAGAGTTGAAAGACTAGGATTCTTTGGAAAGGAGAAAGCTAAAAGAGTATGTTAAGAGGCCTATCAGGTTTTGACGGTGTGGATAAAGTGAGTAGAAAACTCTTATCCTCCAAGTCCCAGAATACTAGAACTAGGGGGGCATCCACTGAACAGCCAGAGATATATCTATGGCAGTGTACCTCTGGGTGCCTGTCACTTTAAGGGGAGAGTCAGGCAGCTAGGAGGTGCCTGAGGGCAACAGCCATTTTGAGAACGAGGGATATAAAGGCTGCAGTTTGCTGCTGCCAGCCCAGGCGGAAACATCGCTTGACTGAACTGCAGCAGGAACATCAGAAGGTAAGAGCAGGAGGCTCTTGGACCTGGACATGATGTAAAACTGTATCCTGCTGGGGATGGGTGGTCTGGTGGGGCTCCTGGTGGCACAGGAGTCCCCAGGAAATGCCAGGCCAGTTACAACCCTGGTGAAAGGCAGGTCGGGGTGCCTTAACCCCTAGCCCCCATGATTCAGTGGGTATGAGGGCCAGGCACGGCTACAGCCACCTGAGGGGAGGAAGACCCTAGAGGCTCTTGGTCAGGGATAGTTGTGTGGCCCTGGAGAGAGAGAGGGCATTTGTGAAGGCCCTGAGAAGGCAGGGATGTAGGTGGCCCTGCACACAGTAGGGTTGAATGGGGGTAGGTCTGAAGGGCTGTGCGTGAGAGGGACTGAGTTGGGCTGAATAGGGAGTAGACCTGAAAGGCAGTCCCAGGGGTGCGTTGAGTAGGGCTGAACTAGGAGTAAGTCTGAAGGGCAGTGCAAGGGCCAGCTCCATGAGTAGTTGATTGTGAGGAGGATGAGAAGACCCCAGGGTGGTGTAGAGGCTCCAGAGTTGGCATAGTAAGAACTCCATGTGTGGGGAAAAGGCCAGGGTATGTTCATGGATGCCTGAGGCCGTAGTTTGGGCCAGAGGCTGAGTAGGAGGGCTCAGCTACAGAGTGAAGGGTGAGTTCTGACCCCAGTAAGTCCTCCACCTCAAGGAGACCGAGTGTAGGTCGAAAGAAAGACCTAGAAGTTGAGCACAATGACCTGCTGCTCCAGGGAGGAGGGAGGGAGAGTCCCTGTGAGACCCAGGAGCACCAGTCGTGGTGTGAGGGAACATCGTGTGTGTGTGTGTCATCTGCAGGGCTTGGGATGCAGCGCAGGGGTGGTTGGAGCTGCATACATAGGCCCAAGAGAACAGGGCTGCCAAAGGGCAGCCTCCCACCTAATTAAGACACCAATTATTAAACAACAAGGCATGGCAGAAGAGAGAGGCGGGCAGTTAGGCCAGAAACAGGTGCGCAGCCCAGCTTCTGACTGGCCCCGGGAAGGCCCCTGTTACAGTATCCTCTGACATCCCTAAACCCCAATGGTAGTGGATGCCAGGGGGGTATGATGAGAGGGATAGATAGGTCTAGATACACCCTGTTCATATGCTCTACCTCTAAAACATCTACTATTTGCCACCGTCAAAAACAGGATACTAGACTACATGAACCATTGATCTCACCCAGTATGGCATTTCTTATATTCTCATATCTATCCTTGAGTAGAGGTGTTTTGGCTGCTGCTAATACCAGGTGACTGCAGCTGATACCTGACTGTACAGGATATACAAGTTTCCCTCAGTTTAAAGAGGTTCTGGATGTGTGAATTTGCTCTTATGCGATGACCCTTTTTATACCAAAAAGGTAGTATATGCGAAGTAAATTCACTCATGTGATTGGTGTGGTGGAAGCTTGCAGTCAGCTGCCTTGTGCAGTGCATTGTGGGAGTGACATGCACCAAAATATAGTCTCCTGCGTGGATCTGTGCTCCTTGCTCATTGTCTGCAACATGTGTTTCTATAGTTGCCATTGCCATTGTGGTAACATTCACCACCACCCTGTGCTTATGTGTACTGTCTTCTGTTGGTGAGTACCAAAATTGTCTTGTAAAAGTGGTAGAAATGGGTCTGGGGGTGAATACAGTCGAGGTCTTGGAATGT